GGGGGTGAAATGGCAGGGTGCGGGGTCGGGGATTTCCTCGGCGGGGGGCCAGGGGTGAACTATCCCACACAACCCTTACCCCCCTGGTTACCACCTAGCCAGCAGCGAGTGAAGTTGTGAATATGTTCGAGGATTTCATCATGTGTAGAAAGCTGTTGAATTTTATTCTTTGTTTGTTGAACTTGGTTCCCATTTGGTGGAAATATCCGCTGCTGCTTTAAATTCCAAAATTGTGATAAGTGGCGTGTGCATGGAGGTCAGTACAATCTGGGTATAAGGGCCTTGCTCTACTACTCGACATCGGGCAAGTAAAAAAAAAAAAAAAAAAAAAAAAACGGACATGGACCAGACACGTTTTGACTGACCCAACATTTTGAATGTATTGGGAACATGAGCAGCTCCAGATACATTTGTGATGTTGTGCAGTGAAGCGAGGCTCTGTACCTGTACTGTGAGTTTTCCTGTAGTGGTCTGTGAGGGTAGTGTCTGTCTGTCTGTCTAGCAAGGACAGCCTGGGAATTTGCGTTGTTTGGTCCTTTGGGACATCCGTTAAAATTGGAATGATACAGAGAATAGGAACGGTATGTTGGGATCTCTAGGGGGATCTGTTGGGGTTGCCTACCTCCCATGTCCTCGCACAAAAAATTCAAGAAACAAGAAGAGAGCTCACCATCAACAACGAGGCAGCGAGGTGCAACCGGGCCTGCCGCGTCGCTCCGCTATCGGCCCAGTCAGTTGCGCGCCCGCGGTGCTTTGTTGGCTTCAATTTTTGCGAGTACGTTCTCGGGCGATTTCACGTGCGCATATGGGCAATGGTGTTTGGGGATGCTTCTACTTAGGGCGTCGTTAGACACTCCTTGGGGAAGCAAAATCCACAAGGAAGTGCTCGTTCCACCTATCCTCGGGGATGATTCTCGAAAAAAAATGTGAAAACACCACAAGGACATTTCCTTGTGGAGTCCTTGTGGCCACAGCCAATTCTTCCTTAGCCCCAAGGGACCTCCCGAGGTCCCTCGGAGCACAAGGAAGCGTGAATTCCGGAGCGCAAGGCCGCGACACGCGGACAGAGAAGGTCACTGTCGTCGATGTGGTCGATCCGTCGGATGTGGTCACTGACGCCCTGCGAGTGCAAGGCCGCGACACGCGGACAGAGAAGGTCACTGTCGTCGATGTGGTCGATCCGTCGGATGACGAACCGTTGGAGAAACGTCGCCTGCGCACGGCGGCTGCAAGCACCCCGGGCACGCCGACTCTGCCACGTCAGCCTCCCCCGGACGATGAAGGAGGGTCCGCCCAACGTGTCGCCGCTCGTGCAGTCGTCGACGCCCGGGGTGCAGCGGGGGCGGAGGCAGCAGGTGTTGCTGGGGGGGCCACGCCTGGCGAGAAGAATCCTGGTCGGGAGGGTGATGAACCCTCTTCAAGTCGTCATCGTCGGGGAGTGATGACGAAGGATCTTTTGGAGTGTGCCCTGCTGTGGGTTGACGACATAGCCTTCTGGACGACGGGGGAGGGGAGAAGACCGTACAACATCGTCCATGAAACTCGCGAGTATTTCGTGGCCATCGCCAGCGGGCTACAAGCGCCTACCGTCCCTCGGAGCGTCGTCATGCCGAAATCAAGCGCGAAGGTGGCGAGGATCTCCGACCAGTCACAACTGCAGCAAGCCACGAAACGCGCGACGACTTTGGAGAACGTTGTTATGCGCATCTTGCACGGCTGGGTGTTCAAGTCCGGAAACCGCCCGAGGGGTTACCATCTCGCCTTCCAGTACACGTTGGAATCCTTCGCCACGGACCTTGTGCGTGTTATGTGGTGCGGTGAGGAGTGGAGTAACGCCGTCAGCGTCGCGGTTTGCGTGCACACGATAGACCTGGGCATGGACTTGCCGCTGTGGTTCGTCGGTGCGAGCGTTGATGATAAGCCTGACGACGACGACATGGCGGCGTACCAGGAGTCCACTATGATATGCATCGCGCATGCATTCCGCGCGGCCATCCAGATGGGTGCTACCATCGACGGAGGTTTCATCTCGTACGAGCGTCTTTGTCGGGTGGCCGATTGTTCCAGGCTGCTGCTGGCGGCGAGCATGTGGTTGATGCGCATGGTGGGAGACGATCAGCGCAGCCACTACGAAGCTTTCTACTTTGCAAAGCTGGTGGCTAAGCCCACGCTCGTCGTGTCCATGCATCGCGCCTTCGAGCATCGCAAGAAGGTCCTCCGCGCCATGAACGTCGTGACGGAAAGGCTCGGGAAGGCGAACGCCACCCTCGGCGAGTATCCGAAGTACATCCCAGATTGAGCGGACTGCGGCATCAGTTTTGGCCACGACGCCACCACAACAGGGTCGGACGAAGCGAAGAAGTTAGACTGGTTGGGTTCCGGCCCCCCCGACGACAACGACCGCGAAGCTGATGGGAAGAAGGAGACGTAGGGGCGGCTTGGGGGGGTTGGGGTGGTTGACGTCCACGGTCGATTGGGTTGGTGATATACACTGGCGGCGGATGATGCTTGACGGTGCTTGTACACGTGGCCTCAGTGATGTCATTGTCCGCGCTTGGAGGCGAGGCGCAGTGTGTTGGTGATTTGTCTGTCCTTCGGTCGGATTCGCCAGGGTCGACCCGTCGGTGTGCAGACGTGTAGTTTGTTGGTCAGTGTAATGGATGACGGGTTGTACTATTCCCGTCCATGCATCGTGTTATATGTGTAGCTGTGAGTCCTTTGTTGGACGTCGGTGGGGCGGGTAATTGATTACCATGCCGTATCCAGTTTTTTTTTCGAAACGCATGTTTCGTTCGGTTCAACTTCTTCGCGCTTTGAGCTTTCTTTCGTTTTTTTTCGTGATCCTAATTGATTGTTTGTTTGTTTCAGCTCCGATGGGTGTTTGATGATTGCGTTCAATGCATTCACATGTTATCAGTTTTTCTTTTTTGGTTTATTTGTATTCAATATGAACTTTTGTAAACGCATCGTTGGGATTGCTTTCAACGACCACATGTCATGCACGCATGAAACAAGGTAGGAAGAATAGCCGCACAATATCGACGACAACGCAACAGACGGCAGCAATTGTTGTCAGCATTCGACCCCACGTCACAACCAATTCCAATGCATGCACGCATCATTACTTTTTCAACATCCATTTCGAGGATTACAGAATCTTGAGATGACAAGTACACAGCAAAAAAAGGACTCGCATGTCATTAACGAACACATGAAACATTGAGGGC